AAACTGCGATTCGCTTGGTCTTGCCGGGTGAGCTGGCCAAGCATGCCGTCAGTGAGGGCACTAAGGCTGTGACCAAGTTCACTTCCGCTTGAGGCTTCATGGTCACTGAAGTGCAGATTAGAGTTATCTAAGCTTCTGAATCCTTTCCAAGGCGTTTCTCAACGCCATCCTCCTCCTTGTCATAAAATGATATGCGATCACAATGGGTTTCTCTTTTTTACAGCATTTGTTTCAGAAATCGCATCTAGCGGTATCTTGGAAAATCGTGCCTGTCATGAACACGATTCCGACTCAGCTCTCACAATGACCGTCAAATCCGGTAAGAAATCTGCGGCTCATCCCAATTATTCGGTTATGATCAAGCAGGCCTTGACCACATGTAAGGGATTCCAGAAGATGAGCCGTCAGGCCGTTCTCAGCTTCATCAAGCAAAACTTCGGTGTCGAGAATAAGGCAGCTCTTAACAAGGCTCTTAAAGCTCTCGTGGATGCTGGTACTGTCAGCCAAGCGAAGGCGTCATACAAACTGGCTGCTGGGTCAAGGGCTGCGGACAAGAAGCCCGCGTCCGCGAAGAAGTCCAAACCAAAGGCTCACAAAAAGAAGGCTTCTGCCAAAAAGCCTTCCACGAAGAAGGCTACGACTAAGAAGCCTGCTAGGAAGCCGGCTGCTCCGAAGACCAAGAAGGTCGCTGCGAGCAAGAAGGTTTCTGCTCGATCAAAGCCTCCGGCGAAGAAGCCGGCTGCCAAAAAGGTCAAAAAAGTGACGGCGAAGAAGCCTGCTGCTAAGCGATTGAAGAAGTAGGTCTTGAGGTTCTGGTAGAAACCTCTTAATTGCCCACAATCATTACAAGGCGTTGTTTGGCGCCATCATGAACGGTCTAATGTGAAACCCCATGGAAACTGCGAATAGGAGAGGTATCTATTAAACTGCGAACCCAGGGCCTGAAAGCTGGAGTCTGGTTTTAGAAATACTGACCAAACCAGAGGATGAGTCAGTGAACTGATATAAGAGAGCTATCCGAGCATCAGCCGCAGAGTCAGGTCAC